TATAATTACTATTTATAATTATGTTTTCCAGTTTGAGATTTGCCCAAATATATGCAAACTGAAACTTGGCAAAAAGTGAATTACTTAATACATTTCTGCCTGTTTTCCAGTTGCTTTTCCCCCAGGATTTTGCCCCAGTAGATTTAACTTGAAAGGCCATTCAGAACTTGAAAAGGGAGACCTCTGGCTCAGCTGTTTTTTTGGGCTTTCTTCTGCAGTCCCTTTAAATGTGCCCCTTGTAAAGGGACTGTAGAAAAAAAGCCCAAAAAACAGCTGAGCACCGGGGCAACCTGCTCCCACCTTTTAGCTGATTTTTTGGTGGGTTTTTCCCTGGTTTTTTTCCCTTCTCGGGTCTGTTGGACCTGAAAAATTTTGGGATTTCTGAAAAATCCCAGATCCAAATATTTTACCAGTATTGGGATCTGGGATTTTTTGGGAATCCTGAAAATTTTGGGGGTCCAATAGACCCAAACTGAAACATATTGGGGGGAAATCTGCACACCCCCTAGTTGCAATCCTCTGTGCGAGATAGCTGGATAAATTCCACTGAAGTCAATGGATCTGAGCAGCTTGTTGATGTAAAATTGTGGCCATAACCTCCCCTCCCCCAAAAAAACCTACAGCAGTCTTGTTTTCTGATGGAGCATATTCATTCAAAGTCCACATACAGTTTCTGCCATAGTTCAGTTAGAAGAGCTTAAACAAGATTCTTCAGAGAAACAGCAATTTGTATAAGAGGTATAGGAATTAGGGATGCGCAAAAACCGAAAAAAATGGAGGTTTGTTTCCATTCGTGGGGCCACATGAACCACAAAACTTCATGGACTTTCTCGTTTACCGAACTGGTTCATTTTGTGGAATTCATGGTGTGGTAGAACCCCTCCTGCAGACTAGAGATGCCAAACTCAATGCGAGTCTCCAGCTGACTCTCCTTTACCTGCCCTCCAAGTTGGGTGAGAATTGGATTCCGGGTGCTGAGTTACAGCCACCCAAGAAAGTGCTCTCTGGGGAAATCACAGCCACAGGCTCAGGAGTCTGGTTGAATGGACCCCCGGGGAGAGGTGTTCACAAATCCCAATGGGGCAGTATAGGTCCTCAGCCAAGGAACCCAGGAGCTAAGCCCCTCTGCTCAACATGAGCAGAGAGATGGGTGGCTCAGAGCCCTGATTCCACTGGACAACATCCCAGCTGGGGAGAGGTGTTCACAAATCCCAGTGAGGGACGGTGTAGGTCCTTAGCCAAGAAGCCCAATAGCTAAGCTTAGAACAGATAAAATAAAGTACTTCTTCACCCAAAGAGTGTTTAAAACATGGAATTCACTGCCACAGGAGATGGTAGTGGCTACAAGCATGGACGGCTTCAAGAGGGAATTAGATAAACATATGGAGCAGAGGTCCATCAGTGGCTATTAGCCACAAGGTATAGATAGGAACTCTCAGTCTAGGGCAAGTGATGTACTGTATTCTTGGTGCTTGGGGGGGGGGGGCAGTGGGAGGGCTTCTGGTGTCCTGGCCCCACTGGTGGACCTCCTGATGGCACCTGGTATTTTTGGCCACTGTGTGACAGAGTGTTGGACTGGATGGGCCATTGGCCTGATCCAACATTGGCTTGTCTTATGTTCTTATGTAAGCGCCTGTGTTCGGTGTGAGCAGAAGGACAGGTAGCTCAGACCCCTGAGTGCACTCCACCTCACACAATCCCAGCCAGCCAGAGCTAATAGTCACAAAGCCAAATAGGGTGGGGTCCTCTGCTGAGGAACCAATGAAACTAAGCCCCTCCGCTCAGGTCAGATGCCTCAGAGCCCTGAGTAAGCAGCCAACACAACCCCAGCCAGGGAGAGGTGTTCAGAAGAAAGTGTGAAGGAGGGAGGGTGTTCTGGCAAAGCAGCCGGCAGCTAAGCCCCTCTGTCCAGCGTGAGCACATGGCTCAGAGCTCTGAGTCCACTCCACCTCCCAGGATCCCAGCCAGCCAGAGCTAGTAGTCACAAAGCACAAAGCTGAGCAACCCATGAAGTTAAGCCCCTCTGCTCAGTTTGAACAGAAAGACAGATGCCTCAGAGCCCTGCCTAAGCACCAAACACCCCCAACCCCACTGTTTACAGGAGGAATTACTTCCAGTTCCCTTCTCTCCCTGTCTCTGCCTCTAACTAAGGCTTGGTGTGCCTGCTGTCGATGGAAAACAGCAGCTGCATGTGAGCGGGGGGTATATATCATTCTGCTCCCATAGAGCAGCAAGGGAGCTCTCTTATTGGTGGCCAATGCTGCCTGTCAGGCTTTGAAGGGCCACTACTGGTGTTTCCAGGGCTGCAGAAGTCCATCCCACCCCCCCACGCATTGCTTTAACAGTCGTAATTCATCAGCACCAGCACCACGGACACTGCTAACACGCCCTGCCACATGATGCCCAAATCTCCAAAACCATGTGGAGGGTCATGGGAGGTTCATTGAGGTGAGATTGCATGGACTTCGGCTCACGTACCACGACCCAGGTGATTTTAGTTGCAAATTTAGGATCATGGGCAGGGTCTTGGGCAGGAATGAAAAAACAGAAAGGGTACAAAAGAGACCAAAGACATTGAGACTATGTACAATGTTCTGATATTATAAGTCCTGTCGGCACTAGGAGTTATCACCTAAGTGCAGATGGATCTAGGTTTTCGGCACCTGTAGATATACATTTGATTCACAGAAACTTTTCAGTTATTCTTTGTTAATTAGTAGCAGCTGATAGAAATGCTTCACTGTTTCCTTAATTAAACTCATTTTTAAGTTCCATCTCTCTAGGCAGAGGCTTAATGAAATTGATGACAAACTAGCATCTAGTGCTGCTTTTATGTTCCTCCACAGTATGTTAATCAATAAAGATAATGTAGATCATAATGAATGATTACACACAGAGAGAAATCCTCATTATGGAGCTTGTTTCCTCTCCTGCAACCCACATTTCTAGAAATCATGGTTTACAACTGTTAAAGCATAACATGTTGTCCATGAACTTGCTTCATAAAGCCCAAGTGATGGCCAGAATCAATCAAGGGAGTTATTTTAAAACATACCGTACTCTGGTGAATATTTCTTGCAATATGATATCCTTGGTTAAATAAGTTGTCAAGAATTGTGGCATATTGTAGCAAATCAATAATTATGACAGCGCCGCATTTCACACTACCAATGGCTATATGTTTTGACTGCATTTTTTTTTCTGCCAAAGAAAGTTCTATGACCAAATTACATTTATTGTAACTGAAAAATTGCAAGCACTGTAATGGCCATTACTGTCCATAACCACTTTTACAATTTCCATTAAAAGCCTATTTATTTTCAGTGAAATATCCCTAACTCGGAGAATAGAACAAGAAATTAGGTTACCATTTCTGGAATAATAGTGCTGAATGCTATTCATTAAAGTATCAGCAATCTTGTGGTTTTTTTAAAAAAAGAAAATCCTCTGCTGCCCTTACACGGAGGAGGGATGGAAGAAGAAATGTTTTCTCTTACAATGTTCCAATTAGAAGGAAGTTTGCTATTGAAAAGGAAAGAGCCTCATGAATGGTAGCCATGCAGTACTGATGACTGCATGGACAGGCTTTCCGTCTTTATCAGGCTGAGTATCCAACAAAGAGTCTCATTAAGTGAGGGAGTGGGGAAATCTGCCCAGGCCATGGACAGGATGCATCTAATTACAGCTTGCAGACATTTTGTGTTAATAGTCTCTCGTTACTATATCAGTGTTACTGTTGTTATAGCTTCGGAGCTTCCTTATCATGGGGCTGCCTTTGTCGCAGATCCGGAAGCTGCAGCCAGTGCAGAATGCGGCGGCCAGGCTGCTGATGGGCCTCCCCAAGTGGAAGCACACCCGGCCTGGGTTGAAAGCGCTGCACTGGCTGCCAATAGCATACTGAATCCGCTTCAAAGTGCTAGTACTCCCCTTTAAAGCCCTATATGGCCAGGGTCCGACTTACCTGGGGGACCGCCTTTCCCCACATATACATCCAAGAGCACTTCAGTCAGGGACCCAACACCACCTGGTGATTCCAGGCCCCCGGAAGGCAAAGCTTGCTGCGACTAGGGCCAGATCCTTCTCAGTGGCGGCCCCTACCTGGTGGAACGAGCTCCTGGAGGAGACCAGGGCCCTGCGGGACCTTATGCAGTTCCGCAGGGGCTGCAAGATGGAGCTCTTCCGCCAGGCTTTCACATAGGGGCCGCCGCCGCCGCCACCACCACCACCAATGGTGGCGATAACATCGGGATTAGGAACCGCCCTTGGAAGTTCCGCCATGAATTGTATGGCACTGACATTGTGGGATTGGCTTGAACTATCTACTGGACAGTATCACCCCAAGGGAAGGATCTAAGGAAATGACTGATGCCATCAAAACCACTCAAAGACCATCTTGTTTACAGAAAGCACTTTATTATTGTTATTGTTACTGTTATTATTCATGTTTTTATTGTTTTATCTGGTTTTATGTATGGGCTTAGCAGCCCTGAGCCCGCTCGCGGGGAGGGCGGGGTAAAATGCCTAAATAAATAAATACAATAAAATAAAATCAATGGAAGGGACAGGTCTATAGGCAGAAGTGAAATGCACTGGGAGCCAGTAAAGTGGACGGCAAAGCCTTCTCAAGTAAGAGGATCCAAGTATACGCTAGGGCATAACTGATGCATGCTTCTGTAAGCAGAAAGGCCTCCTGTTCTCTTCTATGAGAGGAGGATGTGCTGTGTGCAAAGAGAGTTCCCTGGTGCTTGTTCCAAGCTTCTCCCTTCTTACCAAGGGAAACTGGAAACCCCACCGTGTTGGCTGCCCGTTGGCTATTCAAGCTACTCCTTCATTCTTTCTCATAGCAAATCATATACAAACCTTCCCAGCACTCCAACTGGAAAAGCTCTTGCCCATACGCTTGGTGGCTGACAGGTCGTGTGTTGGATTGCAACCTCTGAGAATGAGCTTGAAAACATTTCTGTAACAAAATGTAATCATCATCTCTCTGCTTGTTTTAGGTCAGATGCTTCGTACCCGATCTGTAATCATGCAAGCCCAAGGAGAAGGAAGGCTGTGCCCAGCTGAGCTCACCCAGTACAGAAACTGTGCCGCAAAACCTTGCTACAGCTGGGTTCTTGGAGAGTGGTCCCCATGCAGAGTAGAGGTACTACAGGGTGCTTCTTTAAAAGCCACCTGTTGGCATCATAGGTGGAAAATTATTTTTTCCAGCTCCAGAACATGAAACAACAGTATATCTTTGAAAAGTTATAGGGTATTGCTGTTTGATAGGTTTTAAAACTCAAGGAGGTTCATAACAAATCAAGGTGTATTCTATCACAAAAGCAAACAGCAGATTAAATACTGATCATAATCACAAAGATAACAGGAGTATACATATCTAATAGCACCCATAATGATCTTTTTCACAACAGCGAATTGACATTATAGCATGCTTTAATTTTTCAGAATATCGTCACTGACAAAACTGATTTTTGTGCTAAGAATATGGTGTATTGAAAGACCTTGAAACAATTTTGTTTAAAGCTGTGTATGAAGTGCTGAGTGTGACTGTTCTCTTTAGGGCAATTACTTTTTTTTTTAATGGTCTGAAAATGTAACCGCTGGCATGAATTGTGGAGCGTCAAATACATACACCTTTGCTTTGTCAGCATCACCAACCTGTACCTTTCTCTGTCTTCATGCAAACTGCAGCTTCCTATATCCATTTTCTACCTTCCCTTTTTATCTCATGGGTTGTGCTTCATCTAAACATTTGATCCGTCATCTCGTGTTCACATAAAATGGATCTGGAGTTTCCACACTCAACTTTCTCATGCCTGGTAGGGGGAGGATGAGTTCTGCTTAGCTTTTGTCATGTCAAACTAATTAGATCACAACTCAGAGAAAATATGGCAGAGAGGAAGATATGAAATATTCGTAAGAGACCTTTATAAAACAGTTACTGTTCCATGTTTCTGAGAGACATACCCTTCCTCATGCATAACATCTTATTACTGCAGTCAAAGACTAATATATACAGCTAACCTTTAGGTCCAACTGGGCCTTGGCCTCTCTACCTCTAGAAACACACCTCCTCACACAGAAGACCATTGAACTGGATACATGTTCTTTGGTGGAGAGAGCAAATGAACTATCATCCGTGCGACGCTACACAAAAGTATTTAATACGTTTGTGTGCTGTCTTTCCACCCAGCTTGGGGTCCCAAGCATTTAAATCAGTGCTTAAATATTTAAAACAACGGAGTAAATCATATAAACACAGAAGAACAAGTAGAGAAGACCTCCTCATTCTTTTCCTTAGTCTTGAGCACCAAATGATGAACTGGACACAGGATGCTTCTGGTTTAAGTGAACTGTCTGGAATGAATCCAAGAGGACAAATCTATACAAGCATACTTAGCATTTATTATTAATGTACTCGGTGCTATTTTGGTACAATAAAGCTCTGTTGTTTCTCTTAGGGTGGACAGTGTGGGGATGGAATCCAAGTACGGAACCTCACGTGCGTGGTCCACGATGGCGCTCTATCTGCAGTATCTAAACAGGTGGAAAGAGCATTATGTGGAGATCTTCCATCTAAAGACACTGTGTTGCAGCTTCCATGTTCTGTGCCTTGCCCAGGTAAATCCTTGTGATAGCATACATAGAACTTTCCATAGTCCTATTCTGTGCAGGTGCCACACTATTTTGAGCCATTGCATTTATAAACCTGTCTTATGCATGTTTACAGGCTTGTCAGAAACAAGGTGATTTGGCCCCCAAGCAGACATGATGCTGGAAATTATGTTTCCGCATTTTTGGGAAGATAATAGCTACTTCATGGGGTCTCCTGATTGTAATCAGAACCAGGGGTATTTTTGGGCAGGAACGCACAGGAATGGAGTTCCGTCTGGCTCCCGAGTTGGCCACGCCCAGCAGGAACTCATTAGCATAATAGGCCACACCCAACAGCAGAAACTCATTAGGATTGGCCACATTAGGGGTGTGTGGCCTAACATGCAAAGGAGTTCCTGCTACAAAAAAAAAGCCCTGGGTTTTGACAACAAACAAGGTCAACAGAATAAGAAGCAAAAGGTGGGTGTGGCTGGATGAGCACACTTCTGGTAACATGGGGGTGCGGCCTAATGTGCTAATGAGCTGTGCTGTCGGGGGTGGGTGGCCCAATATGCTAATGAGTTCCTGCTGTTGGGTGTGGCCTATTATGCTAATGAGTTCCTGCTGGGGGTTTTCTACAAAAAGAGCCCTGATCAGAACTATGGTGTGTGAGAGAAGGGATTTAACCATTCCATCACTACATGGTCTTTCTAAGGGGGGGGAAGGCTTCGTCCATCTCTTTCCCCCCCACTGCTTACAGTATGGGGGCGGGGCTGGTTTTGTTTGGAAAAACATGACTGGAGGTGGAAGGCTTAACCCCCCCCCACCGCCACCCATACTGCACTGTTGCCTTGATCTGTATGGATAAGACCCTCCTTGGCAGCTATTAGTCTTTTTAAAATGCTGGAAAGATCTGATTATGAGTTTTGGCCTTCAATAGTAAGTCACAATGAGTTCAATCTGATTTACTACTTTTGGATACCAGCCTTTTTAAGCCAAAGAAAAGCTTCTTTCTTTTGCATATAACCCTTTTATTGTAGATCGTTCACTTTTATGATGCACCTGTAAAACCTCCACAAATTAGATCTCCATTATATTAAATCAATGTGTATCCAGATGCAGAGTAGGAAAGAGGATAATGGGAATCTCAGATGATGGAACTATAGGACTGCAATGGTTCTGATGTCCTTAAGAGGTTCCTTACATATAACTCAAGCAATGAATGGTTATTGTCACAGTTACTCCATACCTTTCCAGGACTGTATCACATATCTGATTCTGAACAGTGGCCCTGGAAATGCAGATCAAAAAAATCCACAAAATAAGGATATCTTCAGACAGCTGGGATTTTTCTACAGGTTTACATAAAAATCCAAAGATTGGGGAACAAATGGTTAGGGGAAATGTTTTAAAGTTTACAAACCTTACCCTACAGGGTGTGAAAATCAACAGCTCTCAATTCTACACCATGAGATCTTAGAGGGATGCTTAGCAGCCCCATAAACAGGCAAGGGTATCAGCAAGGGCAGGCATGCACCAGTGCCACACAAGCTGGGCAGGAAGGCAGTGTAAGTATGCCGACTCCCTGTCTATCTGAAGGTGTCATTTCAACCACTAATGGACCCCATAGGGACATCTGCAATGACAGATGCCTGGACTGGCAGGCCCCATAATCACGCCTAGGAAGTGACCCTGGAAAGCACATGAGACCTTGCTCTGACAGCTGCGACTGCACCCCGCCCCCCCGCTGACATCTGCATACTCTGGACAATGGATTTGCCCCAGAGTTACTTCTTTCCATTTCAGTTGCTAACCCTATCGATCTGATCTCATCTTTCCTCCTCACATTTCCTTGATAGTGAAAAGTCCTGACTTCTATTCCTTTCCCACAGCCCAAGTCCAGGTGGCTCATCAAGCAGTATTGTTTCCTTTTTTATTAGTTTAAATTAGCAATCCATTAGTCCCTTAACCACCAGAGAAGTAATCAGGAACCCAACCCAAACTGTACTTTGCATCTAGAAGAGAAGCTCCGGCGCCTTTTGTCCACACCTGAGGACTCTATACAAAGTTCCCAAACTACATTGTTCTAGCCCTGATTAATCTCATCAGTTCTTTGTTCTGAGGAATCCCTCACGTTAGCAAGCCCTCTGGACACATGTTTGGGCATAACTAGCCCAGCACAACTCCATTGTGGTGTTTGTGGGGTCTCAGGCACCTACTCACACGCACCCCAGTATACCGGGTCCTTCCTCTCAGCGAAGTGCTGGTCATTTTGCCATCTCTCCTTCTTCACGGACGTCTCCAAGAAAGTCAGCTATCACCTCAACCCCCACTATTCTCCCGCTCCTCTCTTTAATTTCCATAGATCTTGAATGTGTGTATGTTCTGTGTGTGCTCTGTGCATGTTAAATTCCCTAAATACCCTTCAATAAAACATCCTTTATTTTACCTTTGGACTGGTTATTGAGAGCTCTCTTAAAGGGAACATAAAGTAGGACAATCCTCACTAATATCCTTCCTCTCGCTAAGGCCTGCCATTTAGCTAATTTCCCCCAGAAACTGAAGGCCCGCTTCTTAAAATCTAATCTGGTAGGGGTAACAGCAGGCAGGAGAAACCAACAAGGTCACCACCAATGAGTGAGACCGGGACTGTGTACAGGAGGGTGTAGAAAGGATGACAGGGGCACTGCTACCAGGGGGGAATCGGCAGTGCTGTGAGTGGGTGGAAAGGCAATGCAACAACGGGAAAAGCAGGAGGGACAGGAAGGAAGGAAGGAAGGAAGGAAGGAAGGAAGGAAGGAGGAAGGAAGGAAGGAAGGAAGGAAGGAAGGAAGGAAGGAAGGAAGGAAGGAGGACAGGCCAGGGGAAGACAGGCAGTGGGGGGGCAGGAAGAAGCTGCAGGACAAAGTAGAGACAAGTAGGGATGAAATGTCCCCTCCCCTGCAAATTTCTCACAGGTCCCCCATAGTCGATTTCTACATGCATTGTAGATTTAAACAATATGCAGGATCAATCCAAGTGAGTTTACATGGAGTAAGTCTGAACTGCATTGGTAGAAACAGATAGACAGACAAAGAGGCAGGCAGGCAGGCAGGCAATGGAAGGCAATTTTGTCAATCCAATAATGTGCAAAGAGGATAAGAACATAAGAGACGCCAGTGTTGGATCAGACCAAAGGCCCATCCAGTCCAACACTCTGTATCGCACAGTGGCCAGAAATACCAGGTGCCATCAGGAGGTCCACCAGTGGGGCCAGGACATTAGATGCCCTCCCACTGTTGAGCCCCCCAAGCACCAAGAAGACAGAGCATCACTTGCCCCAGAGGCCCTATCTATACCTTGTGGCTAATAGCCACTGATGGACCTCTGCTCCATATGCTTATCTAATTCCCTTTTGAAGCAGTCCATGCTTGTAGCCGCCACCACTTCCTGTGGCAGTGAATTCCATGTGTTAATCAGTCTTTGGGTGAAGAAGTACTTCCTTTTATCCGTTCTAACCCGACCGCTCAGCAATTTCATAGAGTGCCTACGAGTTTTTGTATTGTGAGAAAGGGAGAAAAGTACCTCTTTCTCGACCTGCTTTGTCCCAAGCATAATCTTATAAACCTCAATCATGTCACCCCTCAGTCGTCGTATCTCCAAGCTAAATACCTCCAAGCACTTTAGCCTTTCCTCATAGGATCTTTATTCACCCTTTGCCTTTGTTCATTCTTTTTCCCCTTCTTCTTACCTGCAGGTGATTGTCATTTGACAGAATGGTCAGAGTGGAGCTCTTGTGAATTAACATGCATTGATGGCAGGAGCTTTGAGACGATGGGTCGCCAGTCTCGGTCAAGAACATTTATAATACTGTCTTTTGAAAACCAAGATAGCTGCCCTGAACAGGAGCTGGAGACGCGGCCTTGCTCGGGTAGGGGAACAGTCTTTGGTTTTTCTCCATCTCCTAGAGCACTCCACTTGTGCACTACCTTGCAAACTGACTGCTGTTGACTTGTTTGTGTCATAGGAGGGAAGTGCTATAACTATGTGTGGAAAGCAAGCCTGTGGCAAGACAATGAGCGCACAGTGTGGTGCCAGCGTTCCGACGGAGTGAATGTCACAGGTACATCTGCTACACAACACTGTAAAATTGTACTAAAGCTGGAACTCGAACTGCACCCTCTTTTCTGTTTGAGAAACAAAGGAAATTTGTATGTACTCTTTTCCAGAGGTGTGAGAGCATGTCCTAGAATCAGAGTTAGGAGGAACAGAATCCATCCGCTTTAACCATCTGCTGCTGGTAGGACTGTACCCACCATATACAGAGATCTACTGTAAAAGACACGGGCTGTTGGATAGGGATGGGCAGATGTTTGCAGTTCTGCCCATTTAGCATTCAGTCCTTCTCTACTTTTAGAGATTTGATCCAAAGATCCTTTGATGAAGAAGATCCCCAGGAATTCACCTCTTTCTCCCCTACCCTTTTTACCGATATTTTCTCTCCAGAGACTGAGGACACCTGAGGACAGTGTTTGAGAGCCAGTGCCATAGCGTGTACTAGGTCCTGGGGAACCAGTCTTGGCCCAGTCATTCTCTGTCATCCTTACCTACATCACAGGGTTGTTGTGAGAATAAAGGGAAGGAAGAGAATAACATATACCACCCTGAGTACCTTGGAGGAAGGGGGAAGACAAACATATACGAAATATATAAATGCAGTTAGGATCCACACACTAAAGAGATGGCATTCTATCTGGTAGGCTTCTGAAAGCACAGAAGTATGAACTTCTGGGCTTTGAAATTGGAGATGGCACTTGGAGATGGCTCCCAAAGAGGCGCATTTCTATGCTCCTGGAAGCCTTCCTGATACTTAGAAACTAAATTCCTGGATTCAGTCCCGGAGCCTAGAAGTGCATACTTCTGAATTCTGAGAACTGATCCAAACACAGAGCAATCTGTGAGTGCCAGGATGGAGTGTCAGATTGGAATTTGGCTGGGCTTCTTGTTGAAGTCTCTTGGGATTAAATTTGATCTGATAGACTGTCAAAGGGATCAGGGATCCTGTTTCAACTGTGAAATCTGATCTAGTTCAATTTTGCAATCTCCCTTAGTGTGTCACAAGCAGAGTACAGGTACATAGCAGAGAGAGAAAATGCCAACAAAGCAAGTATTACCAGCCAACTCCTGCAAAACTATGCATTGGTTTACACTTACCAGTAGCTTCCAGCTGAGTATCTGCAAGTATTACCAGCCAACTCCTGCAAAACAAAACATTTGTTTACACTTACCAGTAGCCCCCAGCTAAGTATCCGGAAATGCCACTGGGCTGCTACAGTGTGAAGTGGTCCATCCACATATGGGCTATACATAGGGTTGCCAGGCCCTGGTTGGGAAATATCTGGAGATTTTGGGGGTGGAGCCTGAGTAGGGAGGGGAGAGACTTCAATGCTATAGAGTCCATCTTCAAAGAAGCCATTTTCTCCAGGTAAACTGATCTCTGTCGCCTGGAGATAGCTGTAATCCCAGGAGAGCTCCAGCCACCACCTGGAGTTTGGCAACTCTAGCAGTCAGTCATTGCCTTCCTTTATTTTGTTTTTTTACCTTTCAAACAATGAATTTCAAGGGGATTCTCTGAGATATCTATGCCACAATTACCCAAGAGATTCTTTTGCACTCTTACAAGAAGTACACATGCACAGAATACGCTACAGCTCAGTAGATGTCTTTGGACTATTTTAGTTCTGCCTAATACATTCTCTTCACTGGCACTGGGAATACTGTGGGTTTTTATTAAGGGGCTGGGCCAGAGGCATTGCTATGCTAGGTTCTTAAAAGAACTAAGGCCTAGTGACATCATAGGGAGGAGCCAGTAACATCACAGGCCATTGTCACTATCTATGGAGGTGGAGCCATGTGGGATTTTGGAAGGGGCTCCCCAGAAATTTAGGAGGTCCTGGGAACCCCTCTAGCAATGCCCCTGGGCTGGGCTAAACCCAGGTAAAGGCGGGAGTTGGCCAGTAGTTATAGTGGTATCTCAGCCATCTCCTGCTGTGTCCTGTTTTTCAAATTCACTTTTAGAATAGTCACTTTAAGATCTGCAAATATACATACCATGTGTATAGGACAAAGTAATGGTCACAAGTTTGACAGTAAGAAAGGCAACCCAGAAAAGCCTATAGGGGAACAATTTTAAAGTTTTCCTGGACGTTTATTTACAGGAGTCTTGTTTCTGCCATCCGCTCCATCTGCAAGAGACCTTCTCTTCCTGTTGCAAGGAATGTTATCAAATCTCTTTCCCAATCCAGGTCAAGGCAGCTTTTCCTGTCTCCAGAGATCTGTCTTCCTAAAAACTCTCTAGCATTTGATACCTCCCCATATATGTTCCCATTGTCTATCCTGCTAGCTCAATTAGCATTTGTAAACACACTGACTTTCTTCTTTCTTTGCATGCCAATGTCTCAGGAGAAAAATACATTTCTTCACAGAATCCATTACCCCATTCATGCCTCTGAAGATCACTATCTCTCCTTCTTGAAAATCTAAAATGGATTGGAAAACATTTCCATAAACTCAAAGCAGTTTGTCACTATTGCCTGGCTCTGATTGCCTGGGGGAGGCTCAGCCCGCCCCCCCCCACCGGAAAAATCCAGGGAAGGCCCGAGCCACCGCCCCCTTAGTTTACACCTATGCCCTAAGGCGCCTCAAAATGGCTTACAATTGCCTTCCCTTCCTCTCCCCACAACAGTCGCTTTGTGAGGTAGGTGGGGCTGAGATAGTTCTGAGAGAACTGTGACTGGTCCACAGGCACCCAGCAGGTTTTATGTGGAAAAGTGGGGAATCAAACCTTGTTCTCCAGGTTAGAGTCTGCCATTCTTAACCACTATACCACACTGGATCTTGAGGAACATAACACACACTACACAGTAACAAACCCAGGTTTAGCAGAAAGTATATCATCGATTAGGGAGCTGGCAGCCAATCCCAGGTCTCTGACAGTTATACCCGTATGAAACATGTTGTCACATCCACATATATTTTGATGTGTACACTTAGAGATTGTCAGTCAACGTTAGAGAGATACATTTTCTGGTACAGTTATGGATGCTAACATTTCCCCTTGCTCAGATAGCTTGGGAATGCAACGAATCCATCATTTTTCTCAGAGGAAGTAAATATCTCATTATAGCAGTATCTCCTCAGACATTCCTGCGCTATTTTGAATTTTTTTTAAATGATTTCTCTGGACAATTTCTCTTCTAGGTGGTTGTTCGATTCAGATGCAGCCAACAACAACTAGGCGTTGTAACCCGGCCTGCAGAAAACCCTTCTCTTACTGCACGCAGGTAATCCGTACAGTGCAATTTACATAATCAGAATGTTGAAAGCTAATAAATAGGATTTTAAAAAAAAATCCCTTTCCAATACAGGGATAGGTATGTGGCTTGGTATGTATAAGATGCCATCTAGAGGAGACATCAGATATTGAATTTGTTGTTCAGCCAGAACTTTAGGGACAGAATGTATGTAATAAGTGGGTGGAGGACTATGAAGTATTCTGTCAAATTCTAGCTGTGTTTAGGAAGAATAGTGAATCATGTTCTTCTCATATCTGTTTGCTTAATTCAGTTTGTGACATAATCATGTAAGGTGACCAGGGCAACATGGTCCAGAAGTTAATTGTGCTCGTGCTTCATCTAAAAAGTCTCCTAACATACAAAGCTGACCCTTGTGACTGCCTTTGTGAGCACTTCGTTTCTGTACTCACATTCTGAAAAGGGGCATTGGAAACAGAAAATGGTCCAACTGCACATCTGAGTCATGCCACTGTGATCGAGAAGAAAGCATGAGACTCATACCATGTAAAGCTGCAAGAGTCATTACTTGCTGTTTGTGTATGTCCCTTTGGATTTTACAAAGAGACATGCATGCAGCAAATCTCCTGCCTTTTGTGTATATGTTTCTTTTTAATTTAAAAAAATCAGAAGCAGCTGATTTTTTCCTATGTCAGAATTAAACCTTTGAATGGTATACACATATATAGATATTAGCTAAATGTTGTGCTGTATATCCTGGAACAAGGGGTTGGATCCAAAGCTTCTCTTGGGCAAGTGGAAGGACATTTCTGCTCATGCAAAGGAGATTGGTTTTGCCACTTTTCTCTTCAGTACTGCCCTTGAGGGTCCTGTGATTATCAAAAGCAGTTGGGGGTTGGGTGGGCACAGGAATCTGAAGCGAGAAGGAAAAGTCAGCAAAGATCTGCTCTGTGAGCACAGCTCCACACACAGTTCTTTGGATCCAAGCCTATATTTTGCCAGCCTCTCTGTTGTTGCCAGGGTTTCAGTGGAGCAGTGATCTTTCTACAAGACTGATTTCATTTTCAGCATTTTCTGTTGTAATGCCTTTATGCGAACAGAGTGGAAAACAAACAGACCACCTATTGCTTTATTGTGCCTAATATGAATCACACACTGCTTTTCAGCATGTAGAAATACTACCACCTGTCCTAAGTACTTAGGAGGAATTGGGCTTCAAATCTAAACAAATAAATACATCATTTGGGGTTAGGTTAACCTGTGGAAAGCCAGCACACCGTTCAGCAGACACCTCTTTTGTAATGAGTTTTTCTCACACAGTTTGAAGAAACTGTTTTCAGTATCCCATGCATTCTTGTTAACTAGAGTGGCATCTGTGGTTGTGAGAGGGGCTATACGGAAATAATGAGATCAGATGGTTTCCTGGATTATTGCATGAAGATACCAGGCTTAGAAGATAAGAAAGCTGATGTTAAAACGAATGCTGCAAAAAATAAACCTGTCAACTCCAAAATGCATGACATTTTCAAAGGATGGTCTATTCAGCCTTTTAACACAGGTAAAAAATGTTGTTGCTGTTGATGATGGTGGTGGTGGTGGTGGTGGTGGTGGTGAGGAGGAGGAGGAGATCTGGTGGGATTTCCTTAAATGTTGTACAAGTAAGAGTCATGCTCATTAGATCATATAATCAGAAACTGTATGGGAAAATGTCCAAACTCCCATCTGCCAACATATCCTAATTAATTATGTTAAAATATAATAAAGCCTTAACGGGTCCAGCAATATTTTGCAAAATCATCACTGTATAGAATGACTGGGATTGTTGTACTGGGTTGCAGCTAAAGTTGGTTTTACGAGCATTAAATCTGTCACTCATAAAGATGCATTTATTGGTGCTAGAGCAGAGATTAGAACAAAATCCAGAGGTCCAGACCTCAGAATGATACTTCCTGAAATATCTGTGGAATCTATACAGCTGTAATTAATTGCAGCTGCCCATCACTATAATGTTATTAAACATATTGGTTCCATTCCAGGGAGCTGCTAATTCATCCAAAGGCTGTCAGCCTACTGCTATTCTTATGGTCTGCTGCACATTTCTTTCAAGATGTGATTGAGACCCAAGGGAGGATCTATAAGTCTGTGGCAGAGCATTTGATCCATATACAGAAGGTCCCAGGTAGCAGTCCTGGGGAAGACCCTTTTATGAACAAGGCAGCCATTGGCAGTCAGTATGAACACTCCTGATCTGATTTGATACAAGGCAGCTTCATAAGGATAGTGTTAGGCTGGTAGGAGAAGTTGGGCCTTTGGACACAGTATAGCATTCCCCTCTCCTTATAGTTAGCAAGTAGCTGATGTTGGCCATTTGATTGCCTCTGTATATGCACTGTGCTTGTTGAAGGAAGTTTGATACCCATACAGCAAAACATTGTGCTTCTGAGAGAACTAATCTGTGTCCAGAAACTGGTTTCTATATGTGGGCTGGTCTTTTCTAGATTAGGGCACTCACATATAACACAGCTAGCCAGAACCATTTATAGACACACTGCTACTTTGCAGGTATTGTTAAAAGTATGGCTTTGCCTGGAAGTAAATATGTTGTTTGTGGCACTGGAATAGGCAAATCACAGGCCGAGGTTGAGAGCTCTGCTTAGATGCCTCTGCCCCACCCCATTGAAATGTGCATTACAAGAAATCCATATAGGAGCCCTGACTGTTAAGCAAGTGGCCTTTGGACCACTTCTCACAACAAAACCCTCCCAATAAAAAGGGAAGTGCCCGTTGTGTGGCAGCAGTCTGTGTCACAGCAAGGATTTGCTGCTATGTGCAGACAGTTACAAGCAGCTTCAGCATGGCAGCCCTATTGGAACCATCTCGTTTTTAACCAATGAGTTGATCAGTTGTCACAGGTGTAAAGAATGTAGTTCACCTTTACCCTTCTGGTCTCAAGAAGCATACTGAATTTAGCCTTTTGGAACCCTTTGTAGCCACAGCTGTACTGCATATGTATTCCAGAAGGCAGTGTTGTTAGAATCTTATTTGATGTTGGCTTCCCTGAGCCACATATTGGAAATCTTTGGCCATTCAGAGTTGTTGTTGTTGTTGTTCAGTCGCAACGTCGAGTCCGACTCTCTGCGACCTCATGGACCAGATCACACCAGGTCTTCCTGTCTTCCGCCATCCTCTCCATTCAGAGTAGCAAGTTTTAAATTGTAAGGGCACTATAGGAGGCACTGAAGCAGCTGTGAAAATGTGGAAGCTTCCTAAAATGTGGGCAGGATTTTGCTTACAAATCTGTACTTTCCTCCACAAAACTGTGAAAAACCAGAGTATCCTCAAATTCAGAACTGCCTCTTTTTCATGGCCCGCAGCTGGGCCCAATCTGCCCAGCCGGATTTAGTGGGGAATTGTGATTATGTTGCCATAGAAGGAGGCACGGCCCACACATTTGTATTTTGTTGGCTGCAGGGTATCTGGATGTGTCTGAATGCTTGATGACGATGGTGATGATGACTACTACTAATATATTTTGGAGCTGTGTACAAGGTTGCACATCTGTATTTTGTCTTACTCTTTTTCTTCTTCTATCTGCCTCAGATGGGAAGCTTAAAATCTGGGTCTATGGCGTTTCAGCAGGCGGGTTTTTCATTATAATTTCCTTAATCTTTACATCTTATCTTCTTTGGTAAGTATCCTGAGTGTTTGTTCCTTTCCTTCCTTTACCTTGTTTATTGATTTTTGCAGCCATATGAGGCTGGGAGTAAATGTTATTACTTGTTCTGGTTATTTCTTTTAACAGACGGGAGCTGTAGGGGCTGCAGTTCCAAAGCAAAGGCTAATGCAGGGGACTCTTTCTCCCTTGCTCCATTTTGTTGCTTGAAAACAATGTTTCACCCCAGCTTGGGGTAAAACATGCAGGTGCCTGTAAATTTGGCCCTTAGACAATGGGTATCTGGAAGCTAAGTGAACTGATTCCAGTCCTTTGGGGTAGGGCGGGATATAAATCCAAGGATAAATAAATAGATAAATAAATAAATAAGGTGATCTAAATCAAAACTGATTTTTAAAAACACAGAGATCAATCTCCACGGCTACTTTGCCTTCTGTTGGACGTAATGAGGAACAAGTAATTTTCTTCATTTTATATCTAAGCCTTGCACAAACGGTATTCTCCATGCTTTTAGTTACCTGGGACCCAAAGAAGCAAAATGTAAGTACAAGAGAGGTCCATGTATATAGCTTTGTTTGATGCCATCACCAGATCAGTTCCCATGGCTGAAACAACAACTGATTTTTACATTCAGCTGTGGCTTGTATCTTTAATAATGGGAGCTGTTGTCATTATAAAATTAGAGAAGGAAGACAGAAACAACACACATTTGTGGAAATCCGGATGATCTGTGTGATGTATTGGAATGATAAATACCAGGATAATGTTGGATCATACTCACAGAGCAAGATTTCAGGGATCACTTTTACTGTAATGAACAGAAGGAGGCAAGGAAGTCCCTTTCCACTGATGGAAATCCCTTCCATCAGTTGAGGTTTATGTTAGGATCCCAGCCCTTGCATTGATCTTCTGCCTGGTTGATGGCAAAGGGATGGGTCAGACATGAATTTTGTCACTCAGGGTTATTCTTCAAGTCAAAAATGGACACAGTTCTAGAATTGCAGAGTTGCCCATTTTAGCATGTTCAGATTGTATAGGAAATTAAAGATTCTAATCTGGGTGGTTGAAAACAGGAGGAACAAAATTCCTGATCTCCCTGGGAATCCTGGGAGATCTGTTTTCATGTGATGTTTTGGTTGGAATAGTAAGAACAATTAGTATGATTGGTATGAGCGTGTAGTGGTTAGAGTGCCATACTAGAATCTGGGACAACTGGCTTCAAATCACCACTGTACCGTTGAAGTTTTCCAGGTGACTTTGGATTCTTCATAATCTCTCACCCTCACCAGTTGTGTGGATAGGTGGAGGAGAGAATCCCCATGAGGGAGAAAAGCAGAATTTAAATGTTAAAAAGAATGAATCTTCCATCTAGCCATCCTGATGTTAATCATTGTGGCTTCTGTGCAGGCACACATGGGGGACTGTGCAGTTGCAGGCCAGCCACAGAGAAAGAGCTTCCAAGCACAGAAAAAGAGCTTCCCAAAACTCCTTTCCCACCCAAAGGGTCACTTGTTGGAGAGGGGGGTCAAGCACTCTCCGCTCAGTTGTCTTCTTACCGCCATAAGGAGAAGACAAGTTTGGTTCAAAACAGTGACCATAATTCTTGTTCACTCTGTCTGGGTGAATGGCATAATATGGTCTTGTGCCTAGCATGCCACCTCCTTTCTCTGAAAGCCAATGGAGGTACAGGTACCAGGCTTAAAGCAGCATTGTGGGAAAAGGCACTGAAAGCCCCAGAAAAACACAGAAAAATGGGTCCACTACAAAAAATGGATGCGAGCCCCATTGGTGGCCTCAATACCGACACCTTCAGTATCGAAACAAGTAGATAAACTGGCACCAACACGCTCAGCGTTGGAACCACCACCTAAAAAAGCCAAAAAGAAATTGAAACATTCCCAGCGGGCTTCCCCCCGATTCCCGTTCAGCTCCCTTCAACAGCGACCATTGTCACTTTGACACCAGCGCTTGCCATCCCCCCGAACTCAGGGGTCACTCTCCCCTCAAAGTTGACAATGCTCCCTGGCTTGATGCCAACTGAGTGCTTCACCCCACAGCCAACACTCGACACTGAGATAGTGTTGGTTGGTGTTGCCTTGACACCATTCATCTCCAACACCAATCGATATCAGAACCTTCACAGCACTGAGAATGCCATCATGGTCAGGACACAAACCTCATTTTTCAAGGTCTTCAAATGACAAAGCCTACAAGGTCCCTTCTCAGACCATGGAACCAGTTATGGGCCATAAGCATCAGGCTCCCCAAACTCAATGTTCGCAATGTCCCCAATGCAACAACAACTATGGTTCCCATTTCCTCTGATGTTTCCCTCTCAGTGGAGACCCTGTGATTGGCAACAGCAGGACTTTCATCCCCTGGGCAACTGTCACAACCATCCAACAAGCACAAGAGGGGTAGGGACTCTAAACTTCCTGTCATGTATCCACTGAGACCATACTTTCAGAGTCTACAGAGGGTCCGGACTGTGATTCAGAAAATGTTTTAGAAGGCCCCCATTATGCCATCACTTGATGACACTGTATGTGAACTATCAGCCCCGTCACCAACAGAGTGCCAACCTCCAGGCAGGGCCTGGAGAGGAGGAAGACTTTCCTCCATGAATCGCTCTGATCCTGATGGGGGAGATGAAACCAGAGAGAGGCAGTGTGGAGAGAAATCCCAGAGCGAAAAGCCCCCCCATCACACACACACCTATTTTATCCCACTTTCCCCACTAAGGAGCGTGCACGAGTCTCCCCTCCTTCCATTTTATCCTCACAACAACCCTGTGAGGTAGCTTAGACTGAGAGAGTATGACAGGGTAAGGGGTCATGACTGAGCAAAGACGTTAAGCCTGCTTCCCCCAGGCACTAAACACTGCACCACACAACGTTCCCTCTAAGCTGAGTCCCCCCCTGCACTCCTCCACACACACACTCATGCCCACCCCATCCTCCCTGCCCCCTCCCCCAAGACGACTGAGGGAGGGGATTTGTCCTTGGGGTGGGGGTGGGGAGGGGGAGGAAGGAGAGACCAAACAATAATAAGAATCCAATGGGAAGGGGAGGGAAGAAGAGGCGAGGCAAAGAGAGGTGGGCAGGGGGGGGAGAACAAAGAGCGAGCGAGATAGAGAAAAGCGCCCTGCAATTTGCTGGAGGAAATTGCCTTTTGCTGATAGAGAGAGAGAGAGAAAGCCATGTGCTGCCACCCCTCGGCTTCCAGTGGGGCTTTTGTGCGTGCGGCTTGCGCGTGGGGTGCATGTTGTGGTGGGGGAGGGGGGAAAGGAGGGGGTGCATGAGGGAGATAAAAACTGTATGTGAGAGAGTGCGCAGAGGGCATGGGCTGCCAGAGGGAAGGAAATGGTGCACCAGAAAATGAGAGTTGTCAGACTGAGTTTGGCCTTCCTACCAAAGTTTGTCTCTCATTTTCACGTAAATCAAGATATCACACACACACACACACACACACACCCAATATTTTTCCCTTCCCCAACCTCTCCATATGAACAGACACTGCACACACTAGGTGTTAGGAGAGTGTGTCTTTTTTTAATTTGAAATGTACAGAGGCGTTCAGAAAAAATAGGAAGTTGTTCATTTGCTTTAGAGGTACAATTAAGGATAAGTCAACATCCATTCAGTCTCTGCCTAGGTGGGTGGTGTTGACAATCAAAATAGCTTACAAAGAGGCAGGCATACTTTGTACCATTGCATTGAGGGTGCATTCCACAGGAGTGCAAGCTTCCTCAGCAGCATTCCTGTCCTGGCTTCCCTGCAAAGCAGCCATCTGGTCAACACCCTGCAAAGCAGCCATCTGGTCAACACCCTATGACACTACTGCATGGATGTGGACTCTTGGAGCAAGGCAGCTGTTGGGAAAGCAGTCCTAAAATTGATCTCCCAATGATCAGCCCACACCCATATCCTTGGTAAGTGAGCTTGCAAATCTCCCATGTGGGACAGCATGGAAGCCACAACAATGAAAACAGGGTTGCGCTTACCTGTAATGGTTGTTCATTGAGTAGTCTTCTGTGCAGGCATACATCCCTGCGTCCTTTCCCCACTGTGGGCTACTTTCTGCAGCTCCTTATGCTGTTGAAGGGTCCGGCATACCTAAGGGACCTCCTTTCCCCATATGTTCCCCCAAGGGCACTATGGTCGGGGGCTCTTCATCTGTTGGTTACCCCGGGCCCCAGGGACGTCAAATTTGCAGCAACCAGGGCCAGGGCCTTTTCGGTGGTGGCTCCTACCTGGTGGAATGAGCTCCTGGAGGAGATCCGGGCCCTGAGGGACCTTGTGCAGTTCCGCAGGGCCTGCAAGATGGAGCTCTTCCGCCAGGCCTTTGAGTAGGAGCTGCCATCGCCACTAGACCACCAGCGCACCGCCACCATAAAGGTGTGGATACCATCAGGGTGCTAGACAGCCCCGGGATGAAGACTGGATGGCAGCGTCGCTTTGGAACTAATAAATAAATAAATAAATAAATATAAACTGAAGGGAGAGTGTTTGCCCCGCCATGGTTGGCCTGTGACTGCAGTCCCCCATGTGTGCCTGCACAGAAGACCACTTGACAAACCACAGTTACAGGTAAGTGCAACCCCATTTTCTCATTTCCAAAGGACAAAGTCTAGCCCAAGATAAGCATTGTTACAGTGGGAAACCTTTCAATATGGGCTTTATTCTACTGACATCATTAAGATAGCAGAGTGGTTCACAATGGTTGATGTCAGCCCAGAGGAATATCAAGTGACTAATTTAGTTTGCTGAAGTTATGTTTTTATTTCCTTTTAGCAAAAAGCCAAAACAGCAACAACATTCTCCTCCACAACAAAAGTGTCTGACTTTAGCCTACGATGGAGACGTTGACATGTAACATGGAAAGAAATCCAAATGTAGACATCAACTGCCTTAACTGATTTTCCTTTTGTAACATTTGGACTTCTCAGTTTTTTGTTTTGTTTTTGAAAAATCTCACATCACCTGATAAAAACTGGGCAGAAGACCAAGATTGCAAACAGAACAATTTTTTTGTGTATTTGGGTTTATCAGAAACAAAGCATTAAAGGCTCATCTCTTTCTTGTGACCTTTTCTCAAGGGAGACCTCAGAAACGCATCTCTTCTTGTGTGACCAACCAACCAACTTCTACTATTTTTACCTTTAAAAGCATGACAATCCTGTGAAATAAAGGTGACATTTTACTGTAAAGGACAAGTAGGACACTGCGTCATTATGCACTATATTAGTGCAGGCTTCATTATTTTTTCACCTCTTTCGATAATGAGTTTTCTAGTGTTTACATCCAAGTTACATTTGAGAATGAATGCTGGTTCTTCATGTATTTTCCAAAGTACATCACAGGAATGTTGAGGCTTCTGGAATTTCCTTGGCTTTCAAAATTATTCTGTTCTTTAGGTGGGAAAATAATCTCAATTTCCCTTTCATCAGAAGAGCAAGATGATGAGCATTTATCAAATGCAGCACAAGAAGTGGGTCTAGGTGGCTTTCTAATTGCATGGGCTGCAGTTGGTTTTGGTTTGGGCTTTTGAAACAAGACGGGCGGATGTTTTCATGACAACCAGGGAGATGGCAAGAGTGCTTGAAGATGTATTTTAAATTGATAATAAGCTATTTAGATACATTTTAACCATTGAAAACTGTAATTCAGTTGAATTAATATGAATTCCACTTTTGTAATTTAAATTGTTCTTATCTGGAATATTTGTAAATTCTTTTTTTAAAGCTTATTTATTCTCTGACCTTATTTATTATGCATTTAACACACACAGAGACAAAAAAAAGCCCGTTTGTAGAAGGTCTTGGTTTTTTTAAAAAAAGAAGTTTCCAAATCTACATTCTGAACATCTTGAAGAAGATAAGTGTTTGTAATAGTATGTGTTGCAAGTAAGAAAGTGCCATCTTGTGGTATTGACATGTATTTATACACAAATAAAATGCTAAAGGAAGTGGGAATGAAGTTGCTTTGTGATCTCTGCAAAAATCTTGGTGCATCAGGATAAAAAAAATCTCATCACCATCTAATCACGTTGTGATTATGGAGCCAAAGACATATGAGAGTGATTCAAAATGGTTTCAGGAAGCAATTATGCAGTAAGCCCCAGCACATTTCAAGCTCGAGGCACTCTCCATCAGAAAAAAAAATCTTATGAATGAAACCTCCTCTTTAGAAGGTCTAAGGACTTTACTGTAGCACATAGATCAACATCTAAAATGCAGATGTGTATATAAATGGCCAATTTCAAAATAGCTTAGCACCAAATGTTTAATCTGCTACAAATAGTTCAGTTGGCTAGCCAAAATACTTTTGAAAGGAGAGAGGAATACAAACTTCATTCCTGAATAGCAGATGCTTGAAAGACCAACTGCTCTGTGTTTCTCACTGCCCAGCAGACCTAATTAAGCACTACGAGGACAATGGGGACAATTGCCCCAGGAGAGGAGGAGCCACTGCTACTTGCCCCATACAAGTAGGAGAATGGTAAATGTTGTGGCTGCTCTAGCCTGCTGTATCCTGCCTCCAACCGCTTGTGTCAAAGATAGGCCTTAGAATGAATGAAACTGGTCATAACCTAACCCTTACAGATAATAAAGGGTTTCCTCCTCCTCCATAATGGAGCTGTGAGAAGACAATTATCATCAACCATAGTGACATCTCTATTGTTCTGGAAGAAAAGAAAGATTGGCCCATTTGCCATTCATGCAAGCATGGTTAAATATTTAACCAAATTCTACAAGGCTGGCACAAATTTCTACAGCCCATAATCATATTTCTATATGTGAATGAAGGGCAGATTGTTTAAAGGGCAATTTTCATTTTATTCTAAACTGCAAAGCAACACTTTGGATATCCAGACCTTAGGACGATGGGCTAGATTTCTGAGCTACAGTATAGTTTAAAGTAGTTACTTATCACAACAGATTAAGCTTCAGTACAGCATGGGCTATTTTATGTGAAAAGCACTTGAGGTTCCACCCTAATTATTTTGAAGACTGTATTTATGAGGAGACATTGACTTTGTTAGCTCCTTATCAAATGTAATAATAACCCGGTACTCACTCCATTTCCCAGTTTCCCAAGACTTGATCTCCTCATTGTCTTTTTCAGCTGACTTCCAGCCACATGTGGTGTCAGGCCCATAGCCAGGATTTTTTAAGTCAGGGGGCACTGTCTTAACATCCGAACTGTGTCAGTTCGAGCCCCGCACTGGTGTGAGCAGCCAGCCTGTTGTCCCCAGCTCATCGTCCACCCAGCGATTCGAAAGCCTCGGCGAGTAGATAAAATGGGAACCACTCCTTAGAGAGGGTGGGCACACCAACTCCCCTGTGGGAAGGTGTTAGCTGTCGGTTGGGACGTCCTGCTCCAGGACCGGAAGGTGGTAGAAACTACTCGGCTACAAGAAAAATCCCTGCAGTGGGATGCTCCGGCCAGGCGGTGGCAGTGTGGTGATACGATATATGGGTCCTGAAGCCCCAACGTCATCAAGCCGGTTGACGCAGCCGTTTGGGACATGACTGATCCAAGCCAGAAACGTTTCCACTGTGCAGTTACGGCATGTGTAATTAAAAATGAATTATATGTTGTCTTTCCTATCCCCTATGAAACATTGTTAGTCCCTTGTCTAAAAGTGTAACTGTAAATCACTTTGGGCCCGGATCTCCTCCGGAAAGCGATTAATAATTCGAAAGCATCATCATCATCATCATCATCATCATCATCATCATCATTAATATTATTAAATTTCTTAGGAGGCACCAGCTAATCAATCAGATTAAAGATAATTTCATTAAAGAAAGTGGGGCACAGGAATCCTGCACAGGTCTCTGCTCCGGCCACCAGCAACTTGGAGCTTCCCTCCCGCTGCCACTGTGAGCATCTAGCTTTCCTCCCTCCCCAGAGGCCCTTGGCTGGAGCTGCCCCTCCTGGGGGGAGAGGTCCCTAATGCCCTGGGCTGGATAGGAAGTTGGGGGGGCTTGCCAGAAAGTCAGGGGGCCTAGCCCCGAGATGCCCCACTGTAGCTACGGGCCTGTGTGGTGTCCATTTAGAATAGGGTCACCAAGGCAGGGGAGAGCTTGCACAGTTTTACGAATAAAAACCAACCCTTCAAAGAAAAAAAGAAGGTCTAAAGATGGGTGTCTGGCAGTGTTCCCTCTAAGCTGAGTTAGTGTGAGCTAGCTCACAGTTTTTTAGCCTCCAGCTCACACATTTTTGTTTTAGCTCAGGAAGGATGGCTCCAGAGCAAACTAATTTATGCAGTAGCCACATTGCTTGCTCACAACTTTAATGCCGGGAGCTCACAAAGTAGAATTTTTGCTCACAAGACTCCACAGCTTAGAGGGAACATTGGTGTCTGGTATTTAAATGATTTTTGATTACTATAACCCCTTTCCTCTCCTCACATAGCTTCAGTCAGAATCAGGATGCAGTTCAGCTTTAAAATATGCTGGGAGATCTATGATCTCCATCTCATCTCATCTCATCTGACTATCAGCCAAGCAGTTCTGCAATTTCCCACTCCCACCAAGTCCTGTCATTCCTTTAATAAGCACAGCCATTTTCTCCCTTTAAAGGTATATGCAAAACCTGTGAGTTCAACTGTTATCAATGCTGATCCCAGTGATTGTGTAACTTTTCTAGATGTTCAGTGCCTTCAATTCTATTTCAGTCAAATGTATTAAACCCCATTTGAGAATATAAGCATTCCCTATGAATTGTGAATACGCAAAGAAGAAATTACTAAAAGCACAGTCCTCTGCTCTGATAAATGCACATGTTTGTGCCAATTACTTCACTCCCTAACAAAAGAATGTAAAACTGATTTGGACAAAAATGCGGGTAAAAATGTATGAGGCTTTCCATTTGGAAAACCTATTCTTGTGGAATAGAAAACAAAAGTCAACGTGTAGTTTTCTTTTGGTAAAAACAATAACTTAATTTCAAGCAAAGAGTATGATTTGTGTCCTTGAATTTATTGCAATAGCACACCTCCTACTGATCCCAAGGGAGTAAACAACTTTCCTCTGAATGCAAAAGAAACAGAACATTTTCTAAAAGGATAATTATAATACAGACTAATGAGCAAGGAACCTGACAGGGTGCGGCTGTGGCTCAGGGGTAGAGAATCTGCCTTGCATGCAGAATGTTCCAGGTTCAATCCCCAGCATTTCCATTAAAGGATCAGGTTGTGGGTGATATGAAAGACCTCTGCCTGAGACCCTGGAGAGCCACTGCCAGTTTGAGAGGATCATATTGACTTGGGTGGACCAATGGTCAGATCTAATATGTCAGCTTCCTGTTTTTGTGTCTACTTAATGTAAATTCATTAGGATGGATTCAAGAGCACTTCCACTTACTCAAGTGGGGGGATTGTTGCCAATTCCCTATTTTTGTTGTGGGCCTCCATATCATATCATGTTCAGGGGATGTTCTATCCACAGACCTTTGGATCCAACCAATCATCCTTCAGTAAACTGTGCTTAAGAAGTATTTGGTAGAGTTCCTTCATTTTCTAAACTACCTCCCCAAATTGCTAGGATATCTGTATGCATCTCTTAAAATGCCCATTTATAGGAAGGTGTTTCCCATTCTAACTCCACTTTGAGTTCCATTAATGCTGTGATTGCAATATTTGCCTTAGTGCCAGTAAAAGGTGTTCAGATTCACACCAAGTGGAGTCTACAGAAACATGGCTAATGTCTATTGGCAAGAGGCACACTGACAGTGGGGGCCAACATGTTCATCTGGAGTTTGAGTCTCTGTTCACTGAAGCTGTTAAATGGCTTCCATTGATTTCAGCAGAGCTAACTAAAGGCTTGGTGACCTGCTATTTATTGCTTGGTTGCAGCTTTTTGTCTT